TTTTGTAAAAATCTTGGTAACTTTCGCATTTTCCTCCTGTTTTATTAGGCTCTAGAGTCACCTTCATTATCTTTGCTACTATTTATGTATATCAAACACTATTATATTCATTTGAGGCTTTGTATTTTGTACTCCTTAGAGCTCATGCACTCAATGATGTCAGTCTTAGAAAGTTGTATAGACAGTTGTAATGGTTTTAAACTTATTGTGTTGATTTATGAGCTTTCATTCTTTTATTTATGATATTGTGCTGTTAAATATTTTGTTTTGATCTTTTTATTATTTTTAAATGTTGACTTGCCTAGCAGAGTGGAGTAAGGTGCCAGCATAATTCCTTGGTTGAGATTTTGGGTCGTGACAGTTGCGAAATTTGACCATGTGAGCATGTTGACTTTTATTGACTTTTTGAAATTCTCAAGATTGAAGCTTTAATAATTGAGATTACTTCCTTTAGCATAACTTGACTTTCGTAATTGATATTTGGCTAAATTTTGGACATTGGAGGTCAAGAACAAGGAAAAGGCATGATTTCAGGTTGAAAACTAGCCCGAACAAGGTAAATATCTTGCTTAACCTCGACTTAAGGGAATATTTTCTAAAATAGACTTATGTGTTACGTGCTATGTGTTTAGGGGACGTATATGCTAGGTGACGAGCGCATATGCGTGGGCCAAGGTTATATCATGCTCGAGGTAGCTTTTAGGCTTCATTATGCCTTATTTTTCTATATGCTTTAGTTATTTGTGTGACTACTTCAAGTTTCTTATTCATGTTAGAGATCATGTTTAAGCTTTTGATGGTTTATTTGGACATGACTGCTACTTGTAAGATAAATTACATGTTGGAGTTGTAGTCTTACATTATACTTATGCATACATCATGCATAGAGATCATATCTTGTATATATGTATATATCCCTACATGATTATTTCTCAGTTCATGTACATCATACATGCTTATCTCTTATTCATATGCATGCATCCCTGCATGTGCTTCTTTGATATGGACTGAAATTATGACATGTGAGTTGTTTGTGCAATAAAGATCATGATTATGGCACGAGGTTTATGCCGTGTGGTTATAGTGATAATATTATTGCTATGTCACGAGATGGTTGTCGTGCAGTTATTGTGATATTGACTTTGTTATGGCAAGAGGTTTCTATATGACGCTTGGATATAAATTCGTCCCTTCGAAGTCAGGTGATCACCCATGTTAAATTAAGCCCTGTGAGCGCATGCATATATAATTGTGCTTAGTGGGGGCATTTTTAGCAGGCACCCGTACAATACTAAGTGTGTGTGATTGTGAGGGGCACTTGTGCCAAGCACACAGGATGTGGTGAGTGATTGTGGGATGTAATGGATATTATGGTTGAGTCTTGAGTATGCATTGATATCGTAGACTCATGTAGAAATATTCATGCATATTATCGACATATGCACATTCACGCATATTACATATGCATGAAACTTGCTAGTGGATTATTGCACACTTGGAGGGTATCAGATTGAAGCATATATTGAGTCTTCATCATGCATAGACATCTCACACTCATGTAGGAGCATTCGTATAACTGCTATTTGTGAAGTGATGTGAAATTGGGTCCTTATCATGCCAGACGCTTTATATTCATGTAGCAATATTTGAGTCAAAACTATTTGGTACAAATCTCCTTTATATGCAGATTTGATATATTTGTATATGCTTGATTTGGTTCTTTGAAAAAAATATGCTTATACTTTTTTTTTAATTGTGCACCTTATTATATATATCCGTTGTTCCAAGGCTATTTCTCTAATATTGTATATGCTTATGAGCTACACATATTGTATAAAGTGAGTATCTTTTGACCAAACTTCGCCACTACTTCATTAAGGTTAGTCTTGATAATTACGGAGTCATGGGGTAGATTGACTCATATACACTTTTATACCTTGTGTGCAAATTTTGGAGCCGAGCTATTATGGAAGCCGAAAACTAGCATTGAAGAAGTACCATCGTTCCTGTTACAAGCTACCATTTGTTCATGGTAGTGTAGGAGTTATATTTTTATTTATATAAATGTCAAATAGATGATGTATTTTCTGCACACCAATGTTGTACCTTTTAATCTTAGTGGCTCATGACTTGTATTACTAGTTTTTCGGGATAGTTGTATTAATTTCTATAATTTTATTTTATTATTCGCTTGATGATGTTCAATTCACACTGTGTTATATATCGATTGGCTTACCTAGCAAGTTGGGTTAGGAGACATCACGACTATGTGAGATTTGGGTCGTGATATTGACCCGGTTTGTCCATAGATTTTTTTTCAAAAATTTGTTTGTCCATAAAATTTTATAAGTTTTTAAAGATTCTTCGAAAATGAGTTTTTCAAAAACCTTCCAAAATTCCCCCCCCCCCCTCCTCACAACCACAATATTTTGTCAAGTGAAATGCATGTCCAAACATAATTTCATATTTCAAATACCATTTTTTAACTTAACTCCAAATACTACTTTTTTTCAAAAAGTAAATTTTTTTATGTTCAAACGCCTACTTAGATAACTCATTAGTTATTTTGAAGGCTTTTGAATTTCATCTTCACTTAGGGATTACTTCCTTTCTCTAGGTTCATTTTCTCCATTCTTCATTGTATGCAGTCCCATAAAGTGGCTACCACCCTCTCTTCTTGGAGATCATTTACCCTTTCATGGAAGTGAACCTAACTTTCATTCTACAATTAACTTTTTATATATACATTTTCTTAGAAAAGCGTTTTTGACCTTATTTGTGATGTCCTGACTAGTGAATCATTAAGATTCCTTTTAAAATAGAATTATGTTCATTCACAAGTTCTGTCATTCCCATCAAGGCCGTAGCAAAGATGATGCAAGAGATTCGGAACCACATTCGCGATTTGAAAGAGAGGAAAGAAGCCCTCCTCTGTACTTGACCCATTAGCAGGCATATAACGGAGCAACCAACCCCCTTCAACGTCTCTCATAATGTGTTCTACGCTGTTGAAAGCTAGATCCACATGAGGTGTGTAATGCATAGCTAAAAAATACCACTCACTATATGATTTCTGGATACGGTAATGATTCAAATTTACTTTTTATTCTCCTTTTTCCGGAATCTCACATAAAAAAAAACAATAGTGAAAATAAACTCCAACGAAATCTTAAAAGAAAAATTTGTAAACAAAAGACCATATTGTTCAAAAGGATAAAACTTTTCTCTCCCAAAAAGAAAAGGGATAGCCTATTTGGCCATAAGATTTTTTTTACTTTTTCCAGAATGTTTTTACTTTTTGTTAGAAAAGTGTTTGACCATGAAAATTTTATTTTCAGATATTTAAAATAAAACTCCAAAAAGTAGTTTTTTAAAATTTTCACTTCAAATCACTCACAAAAATTTAAAAATCGCTCCAAATTGTATTCATGTCCATACACAACTTTAATTTTTAAATATCATTTTCACTTGAATTTTTTTTACTCCCAAAATTTTACAATTCTATGTCCAAAAGCCCACTTAACCTTTTAAGTTGTGGGCGATGAAGCCTAATAACCTGTTTGGCCAAGCTTCTCCAAATCTAAAAGCATTTTTCTTTAAAAAAAGTATTTTTTTTATAGTTGAAGTGTTTGGTCAAGCTTTTAGAAATAAATTTTTTTTAATGGAAACAGAAGCAGTTTTAGAGAAGTAAAAAATTATTGCTTATCCCCAAAAATACTTTTGAAAAGCACTTTTGAGAAAAATACACTTATAGCCTGTTTGAACAAGCTTTATTTGAGGCATTTTTTTTGGTTGTCAAAAGTGCTATTTTTAAAAAAAATTAAGGTGCTTGACCAAGCTTTTGGAAGGAAAAAAAGTGCTTTTGAGGAGACGCAGAAACAGTTTTTGAAAAAAGTAGTTTCTCTCCAAAAGCATTTTTTTGAAAAGCACTTTTCAGAAAAATGCACTTATAAACACTTTTTAAAAGCTTTGGCCAAATACTAATTGTTACTCAAAAGTACTTTTCAAACCAAGTAGCCAAACACAATCTATTTCTCACTAAAAGTACTTTTTTTGAAAAGTACTTATCAAAATAAGCTGATTTTAGAAGTTCGGCCAAATAGGCTCTTAGAAGCGCTTTTTAAAAAACTTGATCGAACACTAATTACTGTTCAAAAATATTTTTAAATTAATTAGTCAATCACAAATTATTTCTCGTCAAAAGTACTTCGGATAAAATACTATTAAAAAAAGTAGTACTTCTCAAAATAAATTAATTTTTGAAGCTTGGCCAAAATGAAATGATGACATATATTTATGTTACTTAATTAAGGCCAAATACACATACAACCCATCTAACTTGGCACTATTTTTCATTTTGGTACTTTATCTCTTACTTTGTTCCATTTTGGCCCTCCAACTCTATTTCTTATATTCTACTTTAACACAAAAGCTGAAACTAGTGTAAAAAATATAGCGCGCGTGTATACACACATCTGAGGTGTAATAAATATTCAATTAAATATTACCACCTGGTTTTTTCATCCATGTCAAACAGGTCAATACTAAAATACCTGACCCGACCGTATTTTTTCATCCACTGTTGCCCCATCTTCATTCTCTAAGTTACAAAGTTTTCATATGCCGATTTCATACCTGACCCGTTTAGATGAAATAAACCCGCAAAAAATACGATCGGGTTCAGGTATTTTAGTATTGACCCATTTGACATGGATGAAAAAACTAAGTGACAACATTTAATTGGATATTTATTATACCTTAAATTTGTATATATACGCGCGCTATATTTTTTGCACTTGTTTTAGCTTTTGTGTTAAAGTGAAATATAAGAAATAGAGTTAGAGGGTCAAAATGGAACATGTAAATTAAATTTGAAGGGCCAAAATAGAACAAGATAGAAATAAAGTGCCAAAATAAAAAATGGTGCAAAGTTGGATAGGTTACATATGTATTTGGCCTTTAATTAATTTAAGTAAGTTCAACAAACCATTAGAAGATTGTAACCGACCTGGAACGAAATTGACCGACTCTGAGCGTACCAACATAACCCCCCTGTTGCTCCGTTTCATGGGCTGCTCTTAGCACCCTCTTTGCTTCTTCTCTCTCTCTCTTTACCTCCATTACCTTTGTTTTTTTTTCTTCCTTTCAAAACTTTCGCAAACAAAGGAAATGGAGCAATATTATGGCTGTTTATGAAGGAGAAACGGGTTGAGTACAACGCAGAGGGAATTTTACAAGAAAAGGAAAGTTCAAGAATGTTAAAGGCTTTTTGTTACATTGGATTTAGCGGAGGATTGTGATAAGACTAGCAGATTTATTCTAGTAATTTTTTTGTTTTCTTTGGGAACATAAATGTCTGAATTGGTGGCTCGGACTGGTCGGCATCAGCAGCGATATGAGGCTGGTTATCGCCTAATCGCCGGGTATTTTCTCGTTTATTTTGGTTTTTGCTAAATTAGGTTTTATTTGGTTTAGGGCAAGTTTGCTGAATGTTGAAGTTTGGTTTCTAAATTTCCTCTTTTAGTTATGTAGTTGTTTTTGCTTGCTTTGATTTGTTTTGGTGTTTGCTGAATTGGGTTTTGTTTGTTTTTGGTAAATTTTGTTGAATGTGGGAGTTTGGGTTCAAGTTTCCTCTTTTCTTCTGATTCGGTGCTTTTGATTTCCTCATAATGAGTGAAATCTGGTTGAATGTGGAGCTCTGTGACCTAGCTGTCTTCCTTGTTTGGCCATATTATGAGGATTGATTGAGAGAAATGTGCAAAAGAATGTTGCTATTCTTTCTTTCTTTTTTCTCCTTTGTGTAATTGGTTGTGAATTTATAAAGATGATGTTTGGGTTTGGATTTGTGTGATAGAGGTGAAGTCGTTGTAACAGTGGAAGTTCTTTCTTATGCTTGTTTCCAAGAACTATAAAGACCTTGTGCAAATGTGATGGGCATTGTTCATTCTAGGTTGCTTCTTGAAGAGTAATATTCTTTGATCAAGTAAATTTTATTACAGAGACAGCTCTAAGGTGGTGCTGTGATGTGACATCGAAAGCAAAAGTCAATTCTTCTTAATCCTGTAAGGAACTCATGAAATCTATCAAGGTTTTAGCCTCATTAACATACTTCATCCTACACAAAAGTATACAATTGACTTTGATCTCCCAAATGGTGTTAACTTTTCGTTCAAAAACCTCTAGTTCCTTTCCCATATTGTCTACCATATGCGGGGAGGAATGGTTTTCCGGACTCTCTTTTGGGCTATGCCAACATATGATTAGATCCCTTAGTAGTCCATTTCAGACTAGAAAAGTTAAACAAAATCGTATATGGTGTTTTGAAGGCTATGAGGAACTATGGAAAAGAAGCAAATATTGAGAAGATGAAAAGAAGAAGAAAGACTAATGGGAAGTTGGAAATTTGGAATAGGATTAGCGGAGCCAACTTGAACTTGGTCTCAGTTTAATTTATGTTTTTATTTTGCCAAAAGTCCATCAAAACATCATTTAGGTGGGAATATGATAAGACCTGGGTCAGTCTGTCACTGGAGAACCTTCAGAGAGATCAAATAATCTTTTAATCTCATAGTGTCTTCTCAAGAGTCTCCTTTTTACTAAGTCAACTAGAAGAGAGCTACTCCTTATCCTTCCCATTAACGTTACTCTAGATTCTGAGGTCTCCAAACTTGTCCCTTTTAACATCTCTCCTGAAATCACTCGTCAAAAAAAGAAGAAAAAAAAAAGAAAAAGAAAGAAAGAGTGGCTTCTGAGATCAGTCACAACCCGCTTCATGTTTATAGATTCGGTACAAGACATGTTAACTGATCATTTCTTTTGGTTTCATCACCATGTCAAAGCGCACTTGCTAACACTAGATAACTCCCACCTGTCCAATCACCATCAGCTCGGTGTTGTGATTCCACAGAGAACATCAGCAGTGGCGGTTACAGCTGATGAATGTGGCAGAAAAAGGACTAATTGATTGGTCTAGTTGAGAGATTGCCTCCTCGCTCATTTCTTTGTCGATGTATGCACCTTGAATAGCTATGTAAAGTGTTGTATTTTAACCATTCACTGTATAAAAACAAGAGAGCACTAGGTGTGACAACAAAAGATTGGTCTGTCATTGATAAGAGATATTAATTTGAATTTGTCAAAAGGTAATTTTGATTTAATCCTACAGAAAGTAACCTGTGACAGAAGGGAGGGGTATGATAAGATTAACTGGGTCATTAATACTTATATGTGATATTGACATATTGGCATTTCCTGCTTTTCATAGACTCGACGATTGACCTTCTTGACTGCTCTATTTCTATTTTTTCTATTCGTAATGCTGAATGGAGCAGAATCAGGCATAACTATAGAATTTTGCATTTTAACTGCAGCTGAGCCTTTTAAGTTGTCTAGGTAAACTACGTGTAGGCCTAAAGGATCATAATCTGAGAGTAGTTATGGAGCTCTTCATGCCATGTTGGTAACAATAGGCTTTTTGGCGTTCTTCCTTAAAAGGGATAGTTGGTCTTCTGGGCAAAAGGGTGGGAAAAGGGGTGCTGTCAGACTCTTTGGAAGGCACCAGTGCCATAAGAACCTGCTCTACTAAAATAATTGTAGCAGATGGGCGTTATGGAGAAAAGTTCTCCAACAAGTATGTGCTAAGTTGGTTGAATCGAATTCTGACTTTGACCTTTAAGGCGAAACTTGACACAAGGAAAAAAAAGAGTAGCTTGGTGCACTAAGCTCCCATTATGCGCGAGGTCCTTCGAATGGCCGGACTACGTTGGGTCTTATGATGCAGCCTTATGCTACATTTCTGCAAGAGGCTCTTTCTACGGCTACCCGTGACCTCGTGGTCACACGGCCACAACTTTTAGCTTTGCGCCAAGACTCCCTTTCTACCCAACACAAGAAATACTAGCTAAAACCCATGAAATTTGGATTTAATAAGTTTAAAGCTGACTTGTAGTTGTTTCACTAGATAGTGAACCCTGTTGATGCTCTAAAAGGTATCATGGTTAAGTTCCATATGTGCCAAAAAGTTTTGTAGGAGTAGAAAGGGTTTACAGCTTCAAATTGAACCAGTTTACAACTTCAATTTGCTCTATGGTTCAAGGCCATTAATTCTCGTTACATCAATGGAGGGAGTGGTTCAGATGGTACTCTTTATCCTGTAGATACAGAAATCAAGCATGAACCTTCATGGTATAGGATAGGTAAGGTTGAGAGTGGAGCTGTTATAGTTCTCATATTGCTTCTCAAAGGAATATAGCTGCAAGAATGGAAATTGAAGTTAGTGTAGTTTGGTGGTCAGCTTCTGCTTGTACAGTTTGGTGTTCTTCTCTTGATTAGAAATAAAATACTTATTAGCAGGATGTGGTAAATTATTCTGCCTCAATCCTCTCTTAGTTTATCTAAAATGATGTCTTTCTTTTCTGTTTATTAATGTTAATATATTATTTGAAAGGAATGTTAAATGCATCTCTATCAAAATACTTTTTGGAACAACAAAAGCTATGCCTCAATCCCAAGCAAGTTGAGGTCTCCTAGATGAATCCTAACTGTCCTTGTCGTTCCATTTAAGATCATCCTAGTCCACTATTTTATATTAGAAAATTAGAGATAAAAGTAAAGATCACGAGAAGCTTTCTATATTTTTTCAACTGGCATATAAATCTCTGCCAAGTCTACAGGACTCCTAGAAAGCAAGGGACTAAGTAAACATGCTAATATGACTAAAACTTAATCCCAACCAATTTATATTGCCTATATATAATGTTTCTTCCATTATACGATATTTTTCGCTAGGTCTGCGTGGATTCATGAGATATTAGGTCTTCCAAGAATTTTTCAAAATGTGATTTTATGTCTACCTCGTCCTTGTTTAAAAAGGGAAAATATATTTTGTTAGAGACGCATTGGACGTTCCTTGTGAATAATTCATTTGACATTGATGAATAGCAAAGAAAGACTTAATTTTGGATGAACAAAATATTGAAAAGGAGAAGAATTATATTGGATCTATCCTCTCTATGGGAAGCGGCTGGAGCTCTAGCAGAGGACTCGGGTCGAATATTCATTATGGACAATGAGTGAAGGAGTGAATACAGCAGGAGAAAATAATCTAATAGAGGAATGGTTGAACTGTGGCAATGTTGAAAAGTCAAAAAATTGAAGAGGGTAAGAATCAGGTGGAAGGCAAAGAGCGATCACAATAATTAAGGAACCTTGTAGGCTTCTTTGGGTCCAATGGTTAAGTCAAATTTGTTGGTTTTAGTTTCTGGCGTTCTCTTTCTCACATGTAAATTTTTTGGAAAGACTCTTTTTTCACATGTAAGAATACATCATTTGAATCATTTATTTTTTGTTGGTACATCTTCTATAGATATACATCATTATATATCTTTCTTTTGGTATTGGTACTACTTCTATAGATTCTGGTTATCAAATAATCTTTTCATCTAAAGCATTAGGAAGTTATGAGCAACTACTTCTTTACTAACATCCTGGGTTTGCATTTAAAAGTATCTTCTCATAATCTCCTTAATCCGAATTTTGACTAATAGAATTCTTGCAGGTGTATTCCACTTAGGTTCAGAAATATGGAAGAAAATGGTGGTGAGACGGCTGGGAAGGTAGTTGAAGTACTGATGATAAACTCGACAAGTGGGCCTGGTCTTCTGTTCCCAAAGGTAGGAATTGTTAGAGCATTTGGGTTTTCAGCATTATCCTATCGAAATTGTAATGATTTTTTTTTTTGAGAAGGTAACAAGTTTTATAAATTAAGTAGAAAAACCTTTAGCGTAAAGATTATGCTAATGGTTAAAGATAGTTACAAGACCCTCGAAAAAGAGCAAAAACGCAAACCCAGACTTGTGGTAGTTACAAAGACCCAATAATATCCACTATAGATTCTACATCCTTTACCAGAGCTTCTTTACACCAAAAGTGAAACAAAGTTATACAATTCGTCTTGATCTTCTGTTCAGTGTTAGCTCTATCTTCAAAGCACCTTGAATTTCTCTCCAACCAAATTGTCCACCAAATACATGTTGGGATCAACCTCCACCAATGCTTCTACCTCAGTAGAATACTTGGGTCATTCCTGCAAGCTAACATTTCTGCAGTTGTCTTAGGTATTGCCCATTTCACACCTTTCATACTCATGAAAAGATACCACAGCCTACTAGTTACTTTGCAATGTAAAAAGAGGTGGCTGTTTGTTTCAATCTCTTTTCCACTCAAGAAACATTTGGAACACATAAGCATTCCTCTCCTCATTAAACAGTCATGAGTTAGAACAGCCTCTTTGACTACAAGCCAACAAAAGCAAGCCACTTTAAAAGGGATTTTCACCTTCCAGATGTGCTTCCAGTGCCATGTCCCATTGTTCATGTGACCAGAGCTATTCAAGATTCCATATGCTGACTTTACAGTATATACTCCTCCGTTGTTTCTTTCCCATATGAGTCTGTCTTCTTCTGTGATGCCCTTAAAGCTATCCAACAATTTGTAGAATTCAATCACTCTGGTAACCTCCCAGTCATCGAGGAACTTTCTGAACGTAACATTCCACAAGCCACTTTAAAAGGGATTTTCACCTTCCAGATGTGCTTCCAGTGCCATGTCCCATTGTTCATGCGACTAGAGCTATTCAAGATTCCATATGCTGACTTTACATATGCTGACTTTACAGTATATACTCCTCCGCTGTTTCTTTCCCATATAAGTATGTCCTCTTCTTTTGTGATGCCCTTAAAGCCATCTAACAATTTGTAGAATTCAATCACTCTGGTAACCTCCCAGTCATTGAGGAACCTTCTGAACGTAACATTCCACCCCTGCATGATTATAATGCCTTTTCTTTTTCTGGCCAGAATTAACTGATGTTATTTGGTTTAATTTCCCGATGGATCTAGTTATTTTATCCTTATCATGGTGTGAATCTTATTAAGTTTAAAACACCAAAGTTGCAATTTTATTTTTGTTGAAGTTTGGTGACAGTTCTCTACTTAGGTATGTTCTGGTAAAATGCCGTACTGATATTTAACGTCCTTCATCTTCTACCATTTAATCTGGTTAGATTGTGCTGCATATGAAATTTGATAACGCACTGGTTATGCATTTGTCAAAGATTAACACTTGTGCTCATACTTCTGTTTTTAATATTTTTTTTGAAGCATGAGTGCAACATAACTTGTTGGTTGCCATACTTTTTGTTCTTTTCTTTTAATACAAGTGTTCTTCCTGGTGTCTACTTTTGGGCTGTCTGAAGTCATGTGATATTGCTGAATAAATTTGAGAGACTCTTTTGGTTCGTTTGATTTTGTTGTAAAGATTACAAGGATGAGTACCTTACTGGTGCTGCTATTGACATCTCTGGCACATCTTGTATAAATAGGGCGGTTGGGAAAATGATGAATCTGTCGAGGATGCAGCTATTCGTGAAGCTATAGAGGAAGCTGGAGTTCGAGGGGATCTAGTGGTAAGGTCTTTTGATGTATCCACTTTTGTTTTTCTTTGATATTTGGTGCGCAAGTTGGACCTGATTTCTTAGTGCTAATTTCATTTTCTACCATTCGGACATGGAACATATGTTGAAGATAGTGACTGCTTATACTGCACTAGTAGTGGTCCTTTTTTTGGAATTAAGTGCTTTTAAATTCATTTATCAAAATGGTCTTCCTGTCTTCTTTTAGGTAAAATGCATATTTTTTATATATGATGGGGGAAGAAGAAAGGAGAGAATCCTATACAAAATATGATTCTCTATGACATCCATTCATCTGTAGTAGTTGGGTTTAAAGTGTCCCAAATGTGTACTAAGAATGTTCTACTAATATCTATAGAAGAGTTTTCGGTTCCTTCCATTGATCTTCCATTCCTTTCCATCCATAGTGTCCACATGTGCACCAAATGGCTTAGGCCGCAGCTTTGTTGATTCAATTCCAAAGACATTCCGTACTGTGCACCATACCTTGTATGCAATCGGATGACGAAGAAGTGCACGGTGAGTCATTGACATTCCCGCATCAGGCACTAATATATTTTTAACGTCTAATTAGATCGGGAATCATTCAAATTAAGAACAAAAGCTCGTTGCTTTTTCTTTCCCTATAATTTAATTGAAGCCGCAGCCCTATCCATTTATTCATTCGACCCAACTTTATTTTGTTCCGTTCCAAGAATTCTAACACGGTTTTATACCCATCTAGGAACAATGAAATATTCTCAGAACTTTCCGTTGATACGACATGCTATTTTTACCATTCATTCCCTTTCAGGATCAGTCGTGGTCTTCCAAACTTTACCGAGAGTATGGACGAATCCCTCACTTCATCCATATGTGTAAAAGAGACTAGCCGCACTTAAAAGCCGAGTACTCTACCGTTGAGTTAGCAACCCGAAGAAAATATCGAAGAAAAATAAATAAAGAGATTAGACAAGACAACCAAAAACCATTGAAGGAATAAATCTAAAAAAATACATTCACATTTTCGAATTAATTTAAAACATAAAATAAAACTAAATAGATCCACTTCATTTATCACAATGAATTATATTTGTTCGATACACTGTTGTCAATATAAATATTGAATAGTGAAAAAAAAAAAAGAAATTTCAATTGACAACAATAAAAAATATTAAAAAAAAGGACTTGTGTTAGATTGGCACTACAAATCTAATCCAAATAAAATAGATACAAAAAAGTATAGATGAGAGAATAAATTAAGTGGAAAACAAAACTACAATTTATTTAGATTTATTTAATCCATAATGGATTCAATCAAGTTAAGTGAGATAAGCAAACTTGATTTCTTTTTTAGTTTCAGTAGAGTTCCAATGAAAAACGGAAAACCATCCAATTGAAGGAAATGCCCGAATTTTATATTTCGAGGATCAATAAAATAAGAGGTTTTGTCGTTATAGAACACGGAATTCAATGGAAGCAATGATAAAAAAATACAAATAGAAAAGGAAAGGGAGGAAATACAAAAAAATAGAAGAGAAAAGTCATACAAAGTTATATACAAATGACTACCCCCTTTTTGTATTTCCTTAATTTATTTCCTTAATTGAATTTCGGTTGATTAGGATTGATTAGGACGAAGTTCCTTAAAAACCAATGTAACAATACCGAACTTCCTCACTATATTGATAAGAACTGGAATATTGATTACAACCTTGAGATATCAATTGCAATACTCAAACTAATGAATTACAATGAAAACTATTGAAATAACAAGTAACTAAGGATAGAGACAAGAATGGGGATGAGAAGCAGAACTCAGACAAAGGGGATGACGGAATCCCGATACTTCATAACATTTTGTATAATTCTCAAAACTGTCGATGAACCCCTTTTATCCATTTGTCACGTGCTTCCCTACTCAACCTGGATCCCAAGCAAATCTCTTGTTGGGCTGTCTAATTCCTTGGCCTTTTCGCAGTTTAGCCCTCGGCCCAACAACTTGGCTAGCCTCGGTCCAAATAATTGGCCCACAAGCATTATTGGAGTTATCCATGTTCACAACAATACTCCTTTCCTCGATAAGAACCTTGTCCTCAAGGTTCGGGTCAAGAATTCTCGGGATCAAAGGCTTTGGTAAACTAGCTGTAGTTATATTGACTTCAATAGACGTGAAGTTCACTGGATGGCAGGCACCTGCAAATTCCTCTAGCGCAGAATTAAGAGCACTATACCAAGCTCTACTCATGCCTGGTACAACAATAGTGACTGCATAGTACACTTCATTTTGACCAAGGTCATGATGAGATAAATCTTGTGTTCCCTTTGAATACTTCATAGGCCACACAAACATTGGAATGAATAGCAAAATAAATATTGTTCTACAGATGAATACTACTAGAATCATCTCTGCTTGCACTTGCTGTATTAGAGTACCAGTTAACTCTTGAGGTATGAATAAATGTGTATCTACTCCAATAACACGAGGATCTCCACCATCAACTGCTTGTGAGACAAAACCAAGGAGTATGTAGCAGTATTTTAATAACACAAGCTTGGTACTGATCTGGGGTCCTAGTGCCAAAGTTATCCGGTCTCCTAAAGTACGTTCTTGTAGCATAGGCGTAGTGGCTGCGGTGATCTTTGAAGCTTTATGTGTAACGTTGGCTCTCCCGTGCTGGCCAACATATGGGTCTTCAAGGTCAAAAGGCAAGAGACAATCAAGTGGCTTTTCCAATTTTGACCCATTCTGGTGGATCCAAGCAATTATAGTATGCGGGGCAAACTTTCTATTGCAGGAGCAACCACAAATCAGTTCCAAAAATCTAGCAGTGGACGCAGTTACAACAACTCTAAGCATAAGAGTGGAGCTACCAAAGATCTGTTCATTTGGAGCACTAACATAAGCAAAACACAAGCGTCTGATAGCTCCTCTTCTAATTGAGGGCTTCCCATCAGCAGGACTAAGTGCAAGCGCAAGCTTACTAGATCGGACAGACTCAAAAGCTCCAAGAAGCATCTCATGGGAAGCACAATAGACGGTAGTTGGTGTTACAGAAGACCCAAGCACAGTATCCCTCTTGTCATCGAGTATCCTTCTCCCGTTGTCCAACCAACTAACTCTGACATACACATACTTATCAATCATAATAATCATGAAGAAATCTAGAGAGAACCACGACATATATATAAAAACTCCTTCATGTTTTCTCAACTGATGGTTAACCGGCATAACAAACTTGTTAACCATATGAATAGACAGTCCATGATAATCAATACATTTTAGAAGTCTCAAGAGATCGTCTTCCAAATACTCAGAAAGCTTAAACACATATTGCCTACTCGGATATGAGCGTAGAGTGGTCCTCTAACCTTCTCTGAGGTGACTGCACCCTGATTAAAGCAGCAGAGCCAGGATCAAATGGGAAGTCTAATCCAAGTTCATCAGGTGAAAATTGATGCAACCAAAACTGCTCCAAGCATTGGGCAAGCGCAAGTTGATGTCGAGGGCTAAGTATTCTAGGATGCCCTGTAAGCAATTGATTCCAACAACTGTCGAAAACTTTGTGAATATCAAACAGGACAAAGTCACGGGGAAAATAGATTGTAGAAGTAAACCATAATGAAGGCTTCTCTGACCTAAGATTCTTATGCATAACAACCATGAAATGGCAATTGGGATTACAATTGGAAGCTGTCCAAAATTATCAACAGCATCATTCTCTAACGAATATCCTCGAGCATTGGTTCTATCAAATAGCTCCCTTCCAGACCCAAGTGCCATCACAAAGTTCAGAGAATACATGTCCTCGAAAGATAGGCAACTTCTCATTTAGCTGTATAGTCGGAGCTTCAAGTACCTAAGTCTGTTATACATTTTCTTAGCATAGAAATATGAAATATTGGATGAATAAAACACAGCTCGTGAGAAAGTGCCAAACGATATTCCATAGCTCCCACTCCATCAAGTATCTTGTACGGTCTTATAGATATAGGAATTAGATGTTCCACTCTGATGTTCAAGGCTACCACGATCTACTCTTAAACCAATTTCATCATGTGAATAGCTGACAGTAGAAATTTCTACAACCGCAACCAGCTGCAGTTCGAGCAACTCCAACTTTGTCCTTGCTTTTGAGCGTGAATATTTAGAAGGGAGGTATGTGATTCCAACCACATCACTAGCGAAGACAGCAAATGAAATTCTCAATCCCTTCTCATTGCCACCCTTCCAAGGATAACCATATAGAATTATAATTTCTTGGACCATCTTTCTGTTTAGTATTTCATTATGTAGTTTGACAATAAACCAAATCTCCCAATAGGTCGTCCATCGAGTGAATCGCTGTCCAATATGAACGGATAATAAGCGTACTAAAATCAAGTCTATAACCAATATTTTATCGGGTAAAGTAGTAGGCTGATGCGGTACTATGCAACCAAAAATTACAAGCCGAAAATGACATAGTGATGGCTGCTTAATTATTAACGCGAACTCTTCATCCCATGCTGGTTCTTCATACCCAACAAATAAAATTTCAGCAGAAACATACCTCTCAATATCTGAAACCGCATTAGCCAGCATAAAATTCTTATCAAAAAAATTCCACAGACATGGACTACTGTGAATGTGAAGCGGTATGATATTTTCAAATAGATGTGAGACTGCAGCAGTGCTCGCAATCTCTTTCGGCACTATATCCTCTCCGCTAGTCAAAGGTACCAGAAAATTAATTGTGTTCGTTTCAGCTTCATTATTGCAAGCAATTGCCGCATCAGTTGGAGAGACATAGTTCGTAGCAACGGTTCGTGGACATCACAGGAACCTTGTCTTCCTCGGAATCGCCATCTTCAAAATCAGATTCATCAGCGAGTACCGTGGAGCAACAATTATGAGACATTTCGTCGAACACCTGGCCTTCTTCTGAGAATTCCTCCTTCTTAGTCATCAATTCATTACCAGCTTGTAGCTCTATAAGAATTTCAACCTCAATATGACTTCCATCAGCGTCGCCGTACATGGAATCGACATCGATATGCTTTTCTGGTAACGCACTAGGTTCAATAACCGCTTCATCATCTTGTAAGGTGCTAGTTGCCCTATACGCCATTTGCTCGAGCACCTCGTATGCCAAATTAAGGTTGTTGCTGTCGAAGTGTTTATTCCAATAATGAGGCGAGGGTGAGGTGCTAATGTTGCACCAAGATGGAATAGCCGCATCTCGTGCTAGAAAATTTTCTACTAGCTTTCGCTGATGGTGAATGGCAATGCTCCCTTGAGTCATTGGTTTTCCATCACACAATGAAAATTACATTCTAGCAATTTATCACATGAAAACTCATTAGACACTTAAATAAAAGAAGAAGAAACATTTAACCCATTCACAAGCCTCTTCTCATAAATTTCATGCATCTTTCCACTAAGTTGGAATACATAATCCTCTATGTCATACTCAATTCAAAAGGAAGCAAATTACTCTTGCTTTTGAACTTAGATATTACAATTAATGGCTTGATACAACAACAACCAAGTATAATCCCAAAAGTGGGGTCTGGTGAGGGTAGTGTGTACACAGACCTTACCCCTATCCTGTGGAGGTACATGTTCTTTTTTCTGTAGAACTATATTCCTACCTGGCAGTAGTATTAGTTCTTCATTAGCTAATTGTTGTTGTTAGGATTTAATTTCAAGAATAGACTTCTAGAGTTCTTGAATTCAAGGACAAGACTAATCCTACTGCCAGTATTGCTACTGCTTCTTTTACCCTCGGCTCAAGGACAAAATGAAAAGGAGCAGTAGCAATAAGCAGTAACAACAATGATATATAAACAACATCGATATAGTAAAATAACTGAAGCGAAAGAAATAACAGGTAGGAATATAGTTCTACAGAAAAAAAGAAAAAGAAAAAAGACTACAAGACTAATACTACTGCCAGTAGGATGACAAAGGAATACACCTAGTTGCCTCCTAACCTTCTACCTTAATCCTCGACTTCCACACCCTCCTATCTAGGGTTGTGTCCTCAGTAAGCTGAAGTTTCGTCATGCCTAATTACCTTACCCGAATACTTCTTAGGCCTACCTCTACCTCTCCTCATGCCCACCACAGCCATGTTACAAAAGTGTATAAGTTCAAAGACGCTCAACACAATCCTCAAGCGCAAACAACAGAAGCAATAATTGAGGAGGAGCAATTATTTTAGAGCAACTGAACCAAAGGAGAAGTGTTGATGATTTGCTTCAGTTACTGTTACATTTTTTGAGCCTAATAAGTTACTTAGTTTTAGGATAAATCTACTTTTTTGAATTTAAATTTCTGTTAGATTTTTTATGTTTGTTGAGATATTTTAGATTTTTTCGAATTATTCTTGCGCAGATTTTTCTGCAGGTTATCTTCTCAAGTTGGCTATTTAAAGCCCTCTATGCTTTATAATAAAATAGAGACATTCAGTGTTATCAAAGGCGAAAAACGCAAAAAAACTCTAGAGTCTGTTGGGGCTTTAAGCGGAAAGCGCAAATAAAGCGTGGGCTTTAATAAAGAAACGCGCAAATGGAGAAAAACTATAAATATGTATGTGTAGTCAAAGATTAATATTTATAAGCATGAATACCAAATATATGGACAAAGAAATTGAAGAAAATTTACGATAAAGCGAAATATCAATTGTTTAGTGTCGTCTCTTCAGGATGACACTCATTGGCAAGGAAAAGTATGCCTTAGAGCCTTGATGACAACACTGAAGCGCTTGCTAAGCGAGCGAAGCGCTCAACATGTTTTGAGCCTCGCTTCAGGGCCTTTGATAACACTGGAGACATTTTCAATCAATATTTTTAATATTCCTGCTGCCCCATCCTTTTAAAAAACCCAACAAAGGTCTACGTAAAATGCTAGATAAGGCAAGGAGACTACAATGGATTGAGGGATTCAGGATAAACAACAGCTCAGGGAACTCAATCACAGTGTCTCATCTCCTATATGCAGATGATACACTCATCTTTTGTGGGGCAAACAAGCTGGAGCTGCAGTACCTTAATCTAACCCTCCTTATTTTTTAATCTGTTTCAGATCTGCACATAAACATGCTGAAAAACATGATATACCCTGTCAGTATGCTATTTGATTGTGGCATTGGCTCATTCCCTACAACCTATCTAGGTTTAATCTTGGGTGCCAAACATAAGTCAGTGGAGGTATGTAATGGAGTGATCGAGAAAGTGGAGAAAAGGTTAGCAACATGGCAAATGTAATACCTCTCAATGGGTGGTAGGGCGACTCTGATTAATAGTGTCCTGGACAGCATCCCAATTTACATTATGTCCCTTTTTCCTATGCCAAGTAAAGCTCAAAATGAAGTTATTGATCTTTGGTCCTGGAAGCTAATCTACAAAGGTTAGTTGTTTTGCATGGACAACTCTATAAGGTGCTATTCTGACCCAAGAGAACCTTTGTAAAAGGAGTTTTCAACTTGTGAATAGATGTCACGTGTCAATCCAGTTCAGAATCAATCAACCACTTATTTTTGCATTGCACAGTAGCTAGTGGCTATTGATTTCTGGCATATGTTCTTGTCAATTTTTGGTATCAGCTGGACACTACCTTGGAACATTAGGGAAGCAGTTGAAAGTTGGAGCTTTTGGAAAATCAACCGGACCATCAAGAGTATTTGGAAAATGATCCCAACTTGCATTTTTTGGTGTATCTGGACAGAGAGGAATCGTATATGTTTTGATGGCATTTCAACTCCTAACTACTTGTTGAAAGCTAGATGTCAGTGGATTCTTTTAGTTGGAGTAATCTCTTCGCTTTAAATGACGTTGACGTTAGCCTTTTCTAGATTTTATTGGCTCACTGAGCCTGGTCTGACTGCCACTTTTTGCTTTTTGGTTAGCTCCCTGTGCCTAGTATAGAACATGATATATAGGAGCTAACATCTCATTTAGTGTACTCAATGCATCTTCTTGATGCCAGAAATATAACATCTTACTTCAAAAAAAGAAAAAAAAAGAAGAGGAAGTCGTAGATTTAAAGATAAAGCAGATTCAGTATTCAATTAACTAAACCTCAATTCTAAACTAGTTGGGTCGGGGAGGAAAACTGAATATATCTCTTGTAAAATCTCGATGTCCTCAGAATTTGGATCTTTGGTACACGACGAATCTTTTCAATAATGCTATAGCATATTCTACTTTTTAGAATATTTCAGTATAACCAGTACCCTCTTGGTGCTGCAGTTCCTGATAAGATTTTTGCTTATTAATAACAAAATCTGTCAATTAGTAAGGAGCTCATATGGTCTGTAAGTGTTAATATTGATAGTTTTATTTGCTTTCTGTGGATGGTAAGGGTAATAACTGTTATTTCCCTTACTTTATTGTACTCTCATCATGATCATGGGTAATGTTATTGATCTACTTTAACCCATCTAAAACTCGCCTCTATGTGCGGGGTAATAATATGGTGTTCAATAGTCCGTGGACATAGATATGAGTTCTGTGATTTTTGTACTCTTGAAAGTCGAGAGAAAATTCATTCCGATTTTTAATAGAAGAGATTCATTAATATTTAAGTGTTGAAGGGTGTGGCCTAATGGTCAAGGAAGTTGGTAGAGAGCGGGAGACCAATGTTTAAATATTAATAGTCGCAAAAGTTGGTAGCTGATTTCTTCTAATTGTTGGAAAGAATCCTTCAGTGCCCGTCCTGGTGAGAGGTAACAAGAATTGGGAAACTTTCCTTTTGACTGTGTTTCAAAACTTCTATAATACATAAGGAGCCTTGTTTGTTACCCACCAACTTCAGATTCATATGTTTGCATGTTTTTTATTTACTTATTTCATTTTTTCCCCTGTATTCATAAGATTCTATACATTTGTATTTTTGCAGCACTTTCTGGGGTATTACTTCTTTAAAAGCAAAACACTTCAAGACGAGTATAGTCCAGAAGGATTGTGTAGAGCTGCCATGTTTGCGCTTTTGGTAAAGGAAGAGCTTGAATGCTGGCCCGAACAGAGGCTTCGCAGAAGAAGTTGGCTGACAATTCCAGAAGCAATTCAATGTTGCCGGCACCCATGGATGCGACAGGCTCTCGAGGAAGGATTTTCGAAGTGGCATGACAGTGGTATGGCAAGCACAATGAATAATGAGGACTAGTTACTCCATCTTTGGACCAAAGCAGAAGTTTTTTTTCTTCTGTGAACTTCATATAGAGAAGACACCAATCCTTAAAGCTGGATGGTGTGTAATGCCTCAATTTCATTTTAGGACTAGGAACTAAGATAATCCGCAAATAGCTGTTTTAGATGTTGAAACGTATTTTAGTGATTTCTCATTGATGAATAGACTTGAAGGTGAATTGGAGAGAACAAACAAGAAATCCTCTTCATTATTTCCAACTAACTACATTTGGTTCGATAGCCTTGTTGTGGACTAATCAAATTATTCAGTTTAACAAATGCTTTACTTTGTATTATTGTAATTATACATTGCTATTTCTCGTTTGGTGTGGACTACACAAATGGTATGCATGTCATGGGAAAATGTACACGTTCGCTATTACTTTATCCTCGTAATCTCAAAAAATCAAATAGAAAAAAGGTGAGGCCAAATGACATGATGCAAAGGAGCTAATCTGACTTGTTAGCAGAGTGAAGTCTTTATTTATCATACCATCGAGAGGAAGAATATACTTAGCAGCAGCACCATGCTTCTAAGATTTAAAAAAAAACAAAAAATTATAGATTGAATTGTGTGAATTTTCGTTCTTAAGGCCTTAAATCAATCTACGAGAAAATTCTACCATTATTGTACATGATCAAAATATATTATCCCGTTTCATCACATGAATATCATAAAAAATCATCCTCAAACCATCACATAAACATCATCAAGAGCGCCATCCTTATTTAACCACATGCATTAATCAAGATCACCACCCTTATTTTGCCACATGTACAAGCTCGAGAGCGCCACTCTTATTTCACCACATGTGCATAACAATAATCAAATTGCACGGAATAAATATCATGCCAACACCCAATCAATCCGCCCAACATGTCCATTTGTGCCACTATCATCACAATGCAATAGGCCAAATTACCATAAAAATATAAGCTCATATTATTACAACAAGGCGCACAAGGACATGATAACAATAATAAAATACAGATGGGTGTTCAACATATAAAGCATGACTAAAGCTAAATCAATTGTAGCAATCAAATTCATGTAGTGACCAAGTGGTTAACCATGTTTCATATAAATCATATCATCAAAATAAGGCATATTAATAGCCTAAGGTCTAATACGGTTATAAACCATACATAGCACCCGTATGCACGTTTGTCATTTTGCGTACACGTCACTTATCACATAGCACAAATAGGCAAACAAGACCAAATCCTAAGAGGGTTTCTTCCACACAAGGTTAGTGTAACGACCCGACCGGTCGTTTTGTGTATTTGAGCCCCATTTTCTATTTTGAAGCTTCTCATATGTGTATTTGTGGTTTTATGCCTTGTGATAGTTAGTTTCGTGGGGAAGTTTTGGAATGATGGATCCCTTAGTTCTTGCTTTAGAAGCTTAAGTTAGAAATGGTGAACGAATTTTGACTTTGGTGAAAATAACCCTGAAATAGTGTTTTGATGGCTTTGATAGGTTCGTATTGTGATTTTGGACTTGGGCGTATTTTCGGAATTGAATTCGGAGGTCTATATGTTGATTTGACTTGTTTTGCTGAAAGTTGGAAATTTGAATGTTTAGAAATTCCTTAGGTTTGACCATAGCTTGACTTTATACCTATTGAGGTCAGATTTTGGGTTTAGGACTTTTAGGTCCATTTTGTTATTTGGAACTTATTTGCAAAATTTGGTGTAATTTCGAGTTCGTTTGATAGGAATCGAACGCTTGGATGTGTTTCTAGCGATTCTTGAGTTTTATTTTGAATTTCATGTGGTTTGATGTCCAATTTATGGTTCCAGATGTTATTTTAGTATTTTAATAGCGCGAACAAGTTCGTATGATATTTGTTAGACTTGTGTGGATGTTTGGTGTGGAGCTTCGAGGGCTCGAGCGAGTTTCGGATTGGTTTGAATTCATTTTTAGGTTGCCGGTGTGTTGGTGCTCCAGTTATCGCAATTGCAATTACTAGCATCACAATTGTAAAGTAGGCAGGCAGGGCTCAGGTATTGCAAATGCGATGCCTTACTCGCCATTGGGAAGAAAGGCTTGGGGCTGGGTTAGTCGCAATTGCGACCAAATAAGGGACAGACGTCACATTTGCAAAGTCAGTATCGTATTTGCGACATTTCCCCAGACTATCATGCCACAACATAAGTCACATCTGCACGACAAAGACCTCGTACCATAATTTAAATTATACTTGCACGGTAAAGACCTCGTGCCACATTATAATAAGATTTCCGTTTCAATTGCCAAATAACATGTTCAAGAGAACTTTTCAAGAATCAAATATATTAATGCATGACAATAACTTTTTCATCTCGTTAATCCGTTATGCTACCAACAACTCAACAAAGTATGAGATATCAACTCCACGTCGGTAAATCAATCTTGGCAACCAAATTATCAAGTAATAATAGAGACATAGTTGGGCATGCTAAATGCAATGCAACAAAATATATAAAAATGCATGACACACATAAGAAAGTCACATGCATACTCAAGGATGTCATCCTCTTACCACCACATAAACATACATAATACAAATCACCTCTAGGCCATCACATTACATCCCTATAATGCCACCCTTATTTTGTCGCATGCGCATCACAATGAAATGGCTCCCCTATGTCACTACATGCGTATAAACCACCCTTATCTCACCACAAACGCATCACAATAAAATGCCTCCCATATGTTACCGCATCCGCATCTCACCACCTTTATACTCCACACAACATCAATCAACCCACACAACATATCCACATATGCCATAATTATCACAACAATTCAAGATAACAATTTATCATTAAGAGGCATATCCTCACAACTCATCAATAAAGCGCACAAGGACATGAACAATATAAATGCGGATAAAGCATGACTATGACTAAATCATTTATAGCAACCAAGTACAAGTAGTCATACAAAGGATCACATATGTATCACAAAGTGCACGTGTCCCAATCAAGGCACATACAAGAGAAAGTCCATAACTTACGTGTATCTATCTCTGAGGCAAATATAGAATAAGTTTTAATATTTGCTCATCGTGTTTAACATAAGGTACTAATAGCCTCAATATTCCTCTAGCATGATTTATTTTACTCAGATAGTCTATTAATTAAATAATACATGGAATCAAATAAAACACACAAACAAATAAGGCATAAAGTAAGCTAGAATCTACCCCGAGCATGAATACCCATGGCACATGTATATACTCTTGTCACCTCATATATACATCACCCCCGCGTGTAGCGAACAATATCAATTAGTAGTAAAAATTTCTTCAGCTAAAACTAGGCAAGACACTTACCTCAAACAAGCCAAATCAGTACTCTAAAAATGCTTTCCCGCGCGAATCGACCTCCAAATGACTTGAATCTAGCCAAAAACAACTCAATAACATCAAATAATGCCAAACCAAAACGATAAAGTTCGAATCTTTAATCAAATACTCAAAGTGAGCTCCACGATCACGAAAGCTAACAACCCACAGAAGCGCAAGCATGAGCTCCTCTGGGTAACGCGGAAGCTAACGAGCCAACTGCCTCCAGCAACACTCCGCAATTGCGAAGTGACGAGTGATAACGCATTAGTTAGCTCCACTAGCTTATGCGAACGCAGGACCTCATCCCGAATGCGATGCATGAATTGCCAGCTGCCCAATAATCTTGTACACGATCGAGTAGCTACATGCATGATCGCGTAACACATCAGATGCACTACAAACCAACACTGGCCAACACCTCTAAAATAGTCTGAAACTCCCCGAATCGCACCTGAGGTCCTCGGGACCCCATCCAAATATGCCAACAAGTCCAAATACTTTACTCAAAGTTATCCAAATGCTCGGAAAATCATAAACAACATCAAAACAAGGAATCTAATATAAAGATCATTCTCTTAACTTTCAATCCTTCAAACTTCGTCGAACGCATCTGAATCCTACCAAATTAGATCAGAATGAAGCCAAACTTTGCACAAAAGTTTGAAATAACAAAATGGACCCATTCTATATCCCAGAATAACAATATGAACCCGAGACCGCAAAGTCAACTCATGTTCAAACTTATGAAATTTCTAAACCTTCAAATTGCCAACTTTCACCAAAAAGAGCCAAATCAACCTAGGAAACCTCCAATATTCGGAAATACGCCTAAGTCCAAAATCACCATACAAACATATTGGAATCAATAAAATACAAATTCGAGACCGTTCACAAAAGTCAAACCTTGGTCATCTCTTCAACTTAAAGCTTCCAAAAATGAAAATTGCTCTTCCAAATTAAATCCCGAACCACTCGAACATCGAAACCAATCATACACACAAGTCATGATACATCATATGTAGCTACTAAAGAACTCAACTACCGAACAAAATGATAAATCCCAAAACGATAGGTCGGGTCGTTACAGATAAAATCCAATAGCCGAAAACTAGTATCACACCTATATCTCGAAGAAGTTTCAAACAAGGTCAATAACACACAAACAATCGAATAGCGACACAATCTAATATCACATAAAAGAACACAGTATGAAAAGAGTAAAAGCATGCGACAAGTAAGGCAAGTACCTAGTAAAGTCATGTATCATGTAAAAGCATATAGCAGGTAAAACATCTACCAATTAAGAGCATGAATACTGTAAAAATATGTAACAAGTAAAATCATGAAATAAATAAAGGCGTTTAATAAATAAAAGTATAAAATAAATAAAGGCATAAATAAACTATTCCTACTCGTATGCTTTAGCCCATAATAATGCATATCCACTCGTCACTTTGCATATATGTAGTCTCCAAAACATAAAACATATAGCAATTAGACCAATCACGCATAATTTATTCAAATAAAAATTAACGACAATACTGGTCTTTTTCCAGAACAAAATAAAAAATTTAACACAACTTTCCCTTTCGAACAAGTCTCCAAACTACCCGAATCTAGTCAAATATTATTTAAATAAGTCAAAATAAATATTAGAAACTACTCTAATATCAAAGAGGTTTGATCTTTTATCATATTTGAAAAAGCCAACAAAAATCCAACCCCATCCCACATGATCAAAATCGAAAATTAAAACCAATTCCTGTTTACCCCTTCTCCCGAGACCAAATTAGCCCTCATAAGTTTTTCCCCAAAACCTCAATTTTTACTCTTTAAAATATAAAAATTAGGGATAAAAATCTATGGGTATTTATGCAAATAAGACAAAATTAGGTAAAAATTACTAACCAATAAAGTTGGGATAAATTTTTTTCGAAAATC